GATTCTAAATTATTACAGTAGTAATAGCATTAGCAGATAAATTATATAGCATTTATTTTGTGTCTTGTCTTTTCTTTTTTTGAAAGGGAGGTGGATGCTGTACCCGACTGTTGGGGTAGAACTCAGGTTGTTCGTGTGCAATACAGATGCCTTACACATTGTACTGTCTGGCCTTTAAGTACCTTAGTAGTATTGAGCCATTTAGTCCTCAGTGTTCTCTGAGATAGGTTAAGCTAATATCCTTACTTCACTAATGAAGAAATCAAGATACAATTAGTGGCTTGCCTAAGATCTATCACAGAGGTACAAATGGCATAACCAGAGTACCAGCCAGGCATTTTGAAGGCTCCAGGGTCAGCTCTCAGCCATCCAACTACATCTCTCTTACAGCTCTGGGTGTTTGTGAGCATACCTCCAGTCTTGACCAGAGCTCCCTTCTATGTTTCTCAGGTGTGATACCTGTTTTCCATGGGCCTAAGACAAAGACAGCTTGCCTTAACCCCCTTCCTTGCAGGGGAGTCAGAGAGACTGGGGTATGTTTGGAACTCAGAGAGACTGGGGTATGTTTGGAACTCAGAGCCCTCTTTTGTTGTTGTTTTGGGGCCACATCTGGCAGTGCTCAGGGGTTCCTCCTGGCTCATGCACTCAGGAAGTACTCCTGGCGGTGCTCAGGGGATCACATGGCATACTGGGAATAGAACCCGGGTCGACCGCATGCAAGGCAAATGCTCTGCCTGCTGTGCTATCACTCCAGCCCATAATTACTTTTTGAGAATGTCTAGAGCAAGTTTGTATTTGAACTGTCTGTCACTGATTGTTCAAGACCATTATTTTGGTGATATTTCTTGGCTATCTTTGCACAGCACTTTATGCCTTTAATTCTTTTTGTTGGTTTATTGGATGGACAAGAGTCCCAGACTGATCGTTATTCCCATATTTGAATTTTCAAATTTTAATATTTATTCAGCTATTAATCTTCTTTATGTAGACAGGGTGATTTATGTTAAGTTTAATTGTTGTAGTTTGTCCCATGCCTTTGGTAATGTACCATCTAGTGGTTTAGATATATACAGATAACATCATCACTACACTATAGGCCCTGACCCTTACCCCTGCATTACTTCAGCCTCCACTTCTTCTTACCACACACACACACTTCAGAAATATTTTTTCTAAAAACAATGTTTTAGTAAGTGTAATAAAGGCAAATTATCACTTTCTTTTTTTTAATTTTTAAATTTTTTTAAAATAAATTAAGACAGAGGTTTTTGTTTTTGCTTTTTGGGTCACACCCGGCAATGCACAGGTGTTACTCCTGGCTCTGCGCTCAGGAATTACCCCTGGCGGTGCTCAGGGGACCATATGGGATGCAGGGAATCGAACCTGGGTCGGCCGCATGCAAGGCAAACGCCCTACCCGCTGTGCTATCACTCCAGCCCCAAATTATCTCTTTCTTGGGGAAAACACAGTTGGTTTACTTGCTAAACATTTCCTTTTCCTTTCCTTTTTTTCTTTTTGGGTCACACCCGGCGATGCCCAGGGATTACTCCTGGCTTTGCACTCAGGAATTACTCCTGGCAGTGCTCAGGGGGCCATATGGGATGCTGGGAATCGAACCCGGGTCAGCTGCGTGCAAGGCAAATGCCCTACCTGCTGTGCTATCACTCCAGCCCCAACATTTTATTTCCTTGTTCATCTTTATTGTCTCTTTTTCTAGCACCACACTCTCATTATTGCTGTGGCTCTTTTTGTTTGCTTTGATTTGGTTTCCTGCCCCCGCGCCTGGCTGTCCTCACAGGGGCCCCTTGGAGGGGGCGGGTTGAGTTTCCCTCCCCCCGAGCAGAGCCCCAGCAGCTGAGGACCTCCAGAGCCAGCCACGGCCATGCTGGGACCACTCTCCACACGTCCGGACAAGCCTCATGCATAAAGGAACTGGCAGAGGAACCCAGGCATGCGGGTCCCGGGGCTGAGGTCTCCAAGCCTGCTCGGATTGGGACTGGGCCTTCTCCACCCAGACCCCCCATCTTCCAGTAGGTAGGCGTCACACCCACCAGCTGCTGCCAGCGCCAGGTTGGTCCCATCAACGGCCAAGACGCAGAGACTATAAAACCCAGCTCCCGGAAGTGCGCGGCCGCATTTGTGGCCGCGCAACATCTTATTATCTCATTTTTCCTTTGGAGAACCTGGCAGGCTACCAAAAGTATCCTGCCCGCACGGCAAAGTCTGGCAAACTTCCCGTGTCGTACTCAATATGCCAAATACCAGTAACAATGATGGGTCTCATTCTCCTAACCCTGAAAGAGCATTGAAATGGCTCTTTTAAAATCTCAGGGCTAGGAAAGAGGAAATGTTACTGGTGCTTGCTCAAGGCAATTGATGAACAGGATGATCGTGAACGTTGATTTGGTTTGGGCTTTTCTGGGAGGCGGGGTGCACTTGGGCAGTGTTCAGAGCTAACTCCTGACTCTACACTCAGGGATCACTCCTGGAGGGTTTGGGAACATGTGATGTTTAGGATCAAACCCAGGTCACTTGCTTGCCAGATATAAGTGCCTTCCCTGCTGTACTATCTCTCCAGTCCTTGATTAACTGTAGGTTTTGTATGTGTGTGTGTGGGGGGGTGGGGACCTGACCCCTTGTATGCAAAATGCAGTCTCAAACTCCCCTCCTTTGTGTGTGTGTGTGTGGGGGGGGGGGGGGACCTGACCCCTTGTATGCAAAATGCAGTCTCAAACTCCCCTCCTTTGTGTGTGTGTGTGGGGGGGGGGGAGCACAGACCCTGCAATGCTCAGGGGTTACTCTGGGCTCTGCACTCAGGAACTACTCCTGACCATATGGGATGCCAGAGATCAAACCCTCGTTGGCTGCATTGCAAGGCAGATGTCCTACCTATTATACTCTCTCTCCAGTTCCTCAATCTACCTATGTTTTTTTAACAATATAGTCAAGTTCGACCGTCTTAAAGAGGCTGCTAAAATCTCTGGGCCAGGAAGAATAGAAACATTACTGGCGCCCACTGGAGTAATTTGACGACCAATGGGATGACAGTGATACAGTGATTAACAATATAAAGACAAAAATACCTACTTTCTTTTCTTTTTCTTTTTGGGTTACACCCAGCAATTCACAGGGGTTACTCCTGGCGGTGACATATGGGATGCTGGAAATCGAATCTGGGTCAGCCACGTGCAATCGCTCCAGCCCCAAGAGAATACCTACTTTCATTCATGGAACTTACACAAAGTATCAAATATTAGTCTAAACACTTATTACATAGATTGTTTCACTTAGTCCTTAGAACAACTTGGAGGAGGAGTTTATAGGAGTATCATAGAATAGTTGAACTCTTGTTTCATTTTTTTTTTTTTAATTTTGTAGTACTGGGGATCAACACCAGGGCCTCAGAAGTGCAAAGCTGAAACTCTTTTTAGGCCACCCTGGCGATGCTCAGGGGTTATTACTTCTGGCTCTGTGCTAATCAATCACTTCTAGTAGTAAACAAGAGACCTCATGTTGTTCTGGGAATTAAACTTGGGTTGACTGCGTGCAAGGCATGTACCTTGCCTGCTGTACTATTGATGCAACCAGGTGATGGTCTTTTTGTTTTTTTAACTCTAGATACAGTGGTTTACAAAGTTGTTCATAGTATAGTTGTTTCAGGCATTCAGTGTTCCACCATCAATCCCACCATCGGTGTGACATTCTGTCCACTATCGTTTCCAGTTTCTCACCATAAGGGGTACAGAATAATTTGAATTACTCGTTACAACAACATGAAATATAGTTCAGTAAAGAAAATTGGATATCATATCTCACAATAGGGTTATTAAAGTCATTGTCTGAGGGTTTCCTAAGCTGCTGTTGCTAGTTGAGCTTTCTGTGTTATTTTTTATTGAGCTTCTGTACTACTTTCGCATCTAATTTGCTGCACTCCTACTGTGTTGTCAGTGTTGTGGAATCTGGAGGTATCAAGTGGCTGCATATGTGGCCACTTGCTCCAGGAGCTTCTGACTGGAGACCTGGGATGATTCTCTGACTGCCTCCTTCCTGAAGGGGCCCCAGAGTTTTCAGCCTGAAAAATCAATGTGTCCATGACTTTCGTCAGTGTAGGTTGGCATCTCTTTAGAGGTTAGTTGTGTGGCAGGGCTGTTTTTCACATGATGGTGACTGTGGGTGTGGCTGTTGGACTTCTGGCAGTATTTGATTTGTGGGGAGGCTGTGTATCCCACTCTGGTTTCAGCTTGAAAACCAGTGTACCATGAATTTCATCTGTTTGGTGTCTCGTAGTTGTGAAGCAGTGAAGTGGGGCGATTTATATGGCAGCCCAAGGACCAGTATACTTGTAAGCTGCATTGGTTTGGCATCTCTTCTGAAATTAGTCATTGATCTGTGGAGCTGGACTGTTTACATGGTAGTGATGGTGGGATGTGGGTTGGGTGATATTTTGGGGGGAGTTCGGTGACTTTTTTTTGGTCTGGCTTTGGGCCATACCCGACAGTGCTCAGGGCTTACTCCTGGCTCTGTGCTCAGGAATAACTCATGGTGGAGCCCAGAGGACCTTGTAGGTTTCCAGGAATTGAACTCACATTGGCCATGTGTGAAAGCAAATACCCTGCCCACCGTTGCACTGTTGCTTGGACCTGGGTGATGTAATTTAATACATTGCCTATCTTGAACTAACTTTCTCACTACCCTCTTCCAGGTTGGGTTTTTTTTTGCTTGTTTGTTTTTTATGTGGTGGGGATGGTTTGTGGGGATTTTGTTTGCGGGGGTGACACTCGGCAGTGCTTAGGAGTTGGGTTAAGGAGACCCTATAAGATACTGGGAATTGAACCCAGGTTCGCTGTGTGCAAGGCAAGCAACCTGCCCTTTGTACGAATGCTCCAGCCCCTCTTTCATCTTTTTTTAATTCAACATAAGTGGCCACACGAAAACTCTAGATCACCTTCTGTTTCAATTATGAAACCATCAATTAATACTTTTTTCGATGTATTTTGTAGGACAGTTCTGATTCATTTGCATCCTTGAAGAGCATCTGTGGAGAAGGAAGGAAAAGATGGGTGTGAAAACATTTACTCATAGCTCCTCTTCCCACAGCCAGGAAATGCTTGGAAAGCTAAATATGCTGCGGAATGATGGACATTTTTGTGATATCACTATCCGTGTCCAGGACAAAATCTTCCGGGCACATAAGGTGGTACTAGCAGCTTGCAGTGATTTCTTTCGCACCAAACTTGTAGGCCAAGCAGAAGATGAGAACAAGAATGTGTTGGATTTGCATCATGTTACAGTGACTGGCTTCATACCTCTTTTAGAATATGCTTACACAGCCACTCTGTCAATTAACACAGAAAATATCATTGATGTTCTGGCTGCAGCCAGCTATATGCAAATGTTTAGTGTTGCGAGCACCTGCTCAGAGTTCATGAAATCCAGCATTTTATGGAATACACCCAACAGCCAACCAGAAAAAGGCTTAGATGCTGGACAAGAAAATAACTCGAACTGCAATTTTACTTCTCGGGATGGCAGCATATCTCCGGTGTCTTCGGAGTGCAGTATGGTGGAAAGAACCATCCCTGTCTGCAGAGAATCCCGGAGGAAGCGCAAAAGCTACATTGTTATGTCTCCTGAAAGCCCTGTGAAGTCCTGCACACAAACAAGTTCTCCCCAGGTACTGAATTCTTCAGCTTCCTACTCAGAAAATAGAAACCAGCCTGTTGACTCTTCTTTAGCCTTCCCCTGGACTTTTCCTTTTGGAATCGATAGAAGGATTCAGCCCGAAAAGGCTAAGCCGTCAGAAAACACTCGGACTTTAGAGCTACCCGGCCCGTCTGAGACAGGGAGACGAGTGGCTGATTACGTGGCGTGTGAGAGCACAAAGACTGCCTTGCCTTTGGGTACCGAAGAAGATGTCCGGGTCAAAGTGGAAAGGTTAAGTGATGAGGAGGTCCACGAGGAAGTGTCTCAGCCTGTCAGTGCATCTCAGAGCTCACTGAGCGATCAGCAGACAGTTCCTGGAAGTGAGCCGGTCCAGGAGGACCTTCTGATCAGCCCACAGTCTTCCTCTATAGGTACCATGTCTTCCGTGTTTCTCATGGTGCTTTAAGTCAATTGAGGCATGTTTATGTGCATATTAGATTTGAAGTATTTTGTGGTATTTTAGTGTTTTGTGAAGTGTTTTCCTTAATGGGATGGAGCGATAGCACAGCGGGTAGGGCGTTTGCCTTGCACGCAGCTGACCCGGGTTCGATTCCTCCATCCCTCTCGGAGAGCCTGGCAAGCTCCCTGTGGCGTATTCGATATGCCAAAAACAGTAACAACAAGTCTCATAATGGAGACATTACTGGTGCCTGCTCAGGCAAGTCAATGAACAACGGGAGGACAGTCCTACAGTGCTACAGTGCTATTTTCCTTAATAGGAAAAATTAAGAAGTCTAGTATATGACAGCTGGAATTTTTGTAGATACTATACCATAATTTTTCTATTTTGGGGACTACACCTGACAGTGCTCGGGGATTGCTACTGCTCTGTGTTCAAGGATTATTTCTCTGGACTCGGAACCATGTGGAGTACCAGGGATAGACACTGGGTCGGCTGCGTGCAAGGCAAGCACCCTACTGTACTGTCACTGTGGCCCCAGTTTTTCTTAGTAACTTAGGCATCGGGAAAGAAAACGTCATTGAAAACTACTTAATGGAACAAAGGCAGATATGTTTGTATATACACACAAAAAGTTGTGAGTTACTCTCACTACAAAGATCTATTTAGGAACTGGGGAAATAGCTTAAAGGGTTGGGTCACATTGTTAGCATGTGGGGGCCCCAGGTTCAATCCCCAGGATCATATGGGCCCCTAAAAACAGCTGGAAAGAACTGAACCCCTGAGTACTACCAGCTATAACCCCCAAAACAAAACAAAAATCCAGTTTGTTTTATTCTTTATTTAAATATTGAGAACTTACCATGTGCCAAACATTAGGTATATATGATGAACAGACAGAGTCCCTGTATGTGCAGAATTAATAGTTAAATTGAAGGAGCATGTTTGTAAATCATCAGCCTTAGGTGCTGTGGATATTGCCAGGGATAAGGTATCCGCCTTGCATTTGCGAAATCCTTAAGCTGACTCCAGCACCTCGTAACACTCCAGGTACTGCTGGCTTGGAACCTGGTGGCCACTGAGCACTCCTCAGGGTAGGCCCTATGAAATAAAAATAAGTAACTTCAGCTAGCTCAGAGTTAATGAACAAAGGACGATAGAAAGGTTCACAGGAAGAGCAAGTACATTCTTGCATTCTTGAGCTCAGAAAATATGAGTTTGCTTGGACTGAGGATTGTTACACCTTCTAGCGTTTGTGACAGTCTCGGGTCTCCCACTGTCATCATCCTCCAGGCCAGTGCCCACCCTCCATTTCTCTTACAGACCGGAGCCAACACACTGGACACACAAATCCAAAGCGTGGAGTGAGAAGGCTAGAGCCCTCTGTGTCCACATCCAAGAGTCTAGTTTATTTGTCTGCAGTACTGGAGCTCACACACCAGGGGATTTTTAGGGTTTCTTGTTAACTCTGTTTTCTTTTTGGGTCACACCCGGCGATGCACAGGGGTCACTCCTGGCTCTGCACTCAGGAATTACTCCTGGCGGTGCTGGGGGACCATATGGGATGCTGGGAATTGAACCCAGATAGGCTGCGAGCAAGACAAACACCCCACCCACTGTGCTCTTGCTCCAGCCCCTTCTCATTAAGTCTTAAAAAGACTTTGTGCATAACTTGGGCTTGTTTTAGGTGCTTTGAGCAAGGATTCTAGAACTGGGGTTTGCTCGGGACCTGTGATGTCAGAAAGCTGGGATAATTTATCTAGGAATGCAGACTGAAGTAACCCTCAATCAAGAATGACATATTTAGTTGGAAAGGAGGGTGTTTGGTATGTCAGGATTGCACTGTGACCTGGTTTTCATCTGTGCTTAACAAAGTGCTGTGTTTTTTTCTTAGACCAGTGAGACCTGGTATTCTGAGATTGTTTATGTCCGAGAGAAAAAAACACTAATGCCTTGTTGTAAATATCAGGCCCAGTCCTTAAATGCTGGTGCCAGGCCAGCCCCTGAGAAAGGGAAGGGCCTACCTTTCTCAAGTATGAAATGAAACACTGTCTCTCAAGCATCTAGAACAGGGCCAGCACATGGCTGATTCTCAGCAGAGGGTGGCCGCTTTCATTTTCCACCACTGGAAGGGATTTTGTGTCTTGAGCACTAAAACCATGATCAGCTGCACAGGGTGTTACGCAGCGTTCCTTGATCAGATGGCCCTTGCAGTATCAGCAGATCGTCTATAGATCAGCTTTAGCTTTTTTTTTTTTTTCTTTTGACTTTTTGGGTCATACCCGGCGATGCTCAGGGGTTACTCCTGGCTCTGCACTCAGGAGTCACCCCTGGCAGTGCTCAGGGCACTATATGGGATGCCGGGATCGAACCTGGGTCCAGCGTCCTACCCGCTGTACTATCACTCTGGCCTCTCAGCTTTACTATTTCATAAGCTAATAATTCTCTGGTGAGAGTTCTTAGCTCTTGTTGCCATTGATAGCAAAGACATTTCATATCAACAACCTAAGAAATATCACTGTTGGGCCAGGGAAAGTGACTCGGAACCCAAGCACATGATTTGCACACTGTCCCAGGTTTAGTCCCCACATGGTCTCCCAGGTAACTACACTGAGAATGGCCATGAGCGCCACCGGGTATAGCACTCCCACCTGACAAACATCATTGTCACCTGTTGCTTGTATGTCTATAAATGTGTTCAGCTAAAATTCCAGGTAATATGATTTACTGCTATTGTTTCAGGAAAAAGACTTGATTTTGCCCATAGTTGCCTAAGTGATAGGACATAGTTTGTCTTGATGGCCACAGTATGGGTATAATTCTAAAACTGTGTTTTGTTTTAACACTTAGTTAGATTTTAAGTGGTTTTTACTTTTACTTTTTGGTGCATTCAATGGACATGATTTAAAGGAGAATGCTTTTTCATTTTGTTCTTGAGCCCTACCTGGTGATGCTCAGGGGTCACTCCTGGTTCTGCACTCAGAAAGTACTCCAGGCAGTGCTTGAAGGACCATATGGGATGCTGGGGATAGAATCCCCGTTGATTGCGTGCAAGGCAGGCGCTCTACCGGCAGTAACATTGAGCTGGTCCCCAAGATACTTTTTGTTTTCCTTTTCCCTTTTTTTTTTATTTTGTGACCACACACTCATCTGTGCTCTGGGCTTTACTGCTCGCAGCATGCTCAGGGATCACTGCTTGTGGAGCTCAGGGGACAGACTATGTGGTGCTGTGGATGAAACAAGATTTGACCGACCTGCAAGGCAAGCACTGCAACCCCTGTACTCTGTCATCCCCTTGTTTGACTTCTCATGTTCACTGTTCAGTAAGTTAGGAGCCTAGAAGGCAAAGGTCTTTTTCCTTTTTTTGAGGTACCATGGTTTATGATTCTGCATGTTAGGGTTTCATGCATAGTGTTCCAGCATCACACCCTCTGCCAGCCTCTCCATTCCTCCCATCTCCCACCCAGCCTCTGCCATTGATAAGCTCAATTTTATGGTAGGCGATATTTTAAAATGTGGAAATGAATTCATTTGATACAGAACATCTGCTAGATGTATCTTTTACCATATCTCAGTTCTTTGGGGGAAGTGGGTTAGGTTAGATGATGAGGGGACCCCAGGGTCACCCCTGTGGCAAGGAAGCTCCTTAACCCTTGTGCTATTTATCTGATCCAGCTTAGTTCTCTTTGGATAACTTTTTAAGTCAGTCTTGACCGTACTAGAATAATTGAAAGTAGAGTGGTTTTTTAATTCCACTCCTCCGAGGCCTCACCCCCCCCCCCCTTATATGACAGAACTTGTCTGCTGATAATGGAGTGAGATCAGCCTTTTTAGCCTGCCCATGTCTTCAGACTTTTTTTTTTGCAGGTTTTAGTCTAGAAACTCGAATACTGTCTGTACTCTGAATGACTAGTTATTTTTGTGTGTCCATGGTGATCAGTTCCAAATACTGGGATTTTTCCAGTTTTTATCCTAGGATAGACTGAAATGTGAGTATTCAGTTCCCTTTTCTTTAAAGAAAAATGTGAGAATGGAAAAATACTGACCAGTAAACAGTTTTTCCTAGACAAAGAGGCATTATCTGCCTCACACCCCACATCTGGGTTAAAAACAAACCAGAAGGACTTGGAGACTGAAGCTCAGGCTTTGTGTGCAGGAGGCAAATGTTTAATCCCTCCCAGGGACCACCCCTGAGCACTGAGCCTAGAACAGGCCCTGAGCACTGCTACAGGAGGGAGGGGTAAAACACTAAAGAGAAAAAGGACTTGGAATAAGTTAGATAGATAGTAGATATAGGGGACGTAGAGGAAAGAAAGAAATGTCTTTAGAGCCATGGGGGTCTTGACATACCCCCACTCTGGTGTGACACTGGAGGTGACACCGCTCCATGACCCGCTGCAGTGCCTAGCCTGAGCCATCCACAGTTTGCCCTCGCCCTTCACTGGAGTCCCTGAGCCCGAGATGCTTGGGGACAGGAGGGGCCATCCCTTCCTTCATAGTTGATGAGGAAGAAAGAGGTGAAGCTGGTGTGGTGTGCATTTGAAGATGAAGGTCATACATGTCTGGTCTCCGAAAACACCTAGAGCTCTAGGACGTGGTACAGTGGGAGAGCCTTCACGATTACTTGAGTCACCAAGAAACAAAAAACTGGTATTTATCTTCTCCCCCATTTATCGACTCCATCTTTGCAGCCTGACTGTGATTGTCACTGTAACTGTCCTCCCGTTGTTCATCGATTTGCTTGGGCACCAGTAACGTCTCACAACAAATTGTGAGACTTGTTGTTACTGTGTTTGGCATATTGAATACGTCACGGGGAGCTTGCCAGGCTTTGCCGTGCGGGCGAGATACTCTTGGTAGCTTGTCGGGTTCTCCAGGAGGGGCAGAGGAATCGAACCTGGCTCGGCCGGGCTGGCTGCATGCAAGGCAAACGCCCTACCCGCTGTGCTATCGCTCCAGCCATTATATGCCTGGTAATATAATGGCGCTGGAGACCCCAGGGTCACACCCAGTAGTGCTCAGGGGCCACACCATGCTAGGACTGAACCCTGGGGTTCTGCTTGCAGTACATACACTCTGTCCCCTAAGCCTGCCAGAAGTGATCCTTGAGCTCAGAACCAGGAGTAAGTCCTGAACACTGCCGTGTGTGGTCCCCCAGATAAACCCCCACTCCCCAGAAAAAAAAAAAACATTTCACAAGAGGATTCGGTAAAAATAAGAAAAGATGGGGCTGGAGATACAGTAGCACTGTAGCACTGTCCTCCTGTTGTTCATCAATTTGCTTGAGCGGGCACCAGTAACATCTCTGTTGTGAGACTTGTTGTTAACTGTTTCTGGCATATCGAGTACGCCACGGGGAGCTTGCCAGGCTCTGCCGTATGGGCGGGATACTCTCGGTAGCTTGCCAGGTTCTTGGAGAGGGATGGAGGAATAATCGAACCTGGGTCAGCCTCGTGCAAGGCAAATGCCCTACCCACCGTGCTATTGCTCCAGCCCGGAGATACAAAGGTTAAAGTAAATGCTTACCTTGCACACAGCTGACATCAGTTTGATCCCTGGCGCCACTTACGGTCCCCCAGCTAATACCAGAAGTGATCCCTGAGCATGGCCAGGTATGAGCCAGTTGCTCCCACCTCCCAGGTGCATGTGCACACCCTGCCAGTAGTAAGGAAAATAAGCTTAACACACAGTGAAATACTGCTGCAGTCCCAGGAGATCGGTATTGTTTTAAAAATTTACCAATATCAAGTTTTATACTGTGAAACCTTCTTTATTTGCTTTGGGGCCACACCCAGCTGTGCTCAGGGCCTACTCCTGGCTCTGCACTCAGAGATCGCTCTTCTTGAGGCTGGTGGGATGCGGGGATGGAACCTGGGTGGGCCACATGCAAGGCAGGTGTAGTATAGTGATGTAAGTTTTTAGTGCAGTCACTTTGGGAAAAACGTTCAGTACTTTCTAATAAAGTCAAAGATATTACATATGCATACAAGGCCCAGCAGTTAGTTTCTAAACGGAAATGCCCTAGAAGAAAGCCCGCGTATTCACAGTGTTTAGGATGAGGATGGCAGAGTTTCCCTGCAGGGATCCGAAAGTGAATGTTTCCGATGTTACTGCCCTGTCACCTCTCAGCCATGGTTCCACTCTGCCGCCACAGTGGAAAGCAGCCTTTGATGGCATGTGCCTGTACTTCGGCGAGAACCCCACACTGGCTGGGGAGGCGCTCGGGGCTGGAGCCCACATTTTGTATTAGAGAGCCCCAGACTCATTCATTCCCCAAGCACCACTGGGAGTGCCTCCCCTCAACCCCCCAAAAACCAACCTCCAGTTTATGGAAACACATACTTAAGATAAAACTTTAAGGACTGGAGAGATGTGCAGAGGGTAGGGTGCTTTTGTTTTCTTTTCTAAACGTATGTTTGTTTATTATTTTTGCCTTTTTTGTGCCACACCCAGAGATGCTCTGGGGTTACTCCTGGCTCTGCACTCAGTCAGGAATTACTCCTGGTGGTGCTCGGGGATGCTGAGGTCAGCTCTGTGCAAGGCAAACCCATTGTGCTATCACTCTGGCTCAGGGAGCTTTTCTTACACATAGCTGGCCCTAGTTCTATTCCTGGCACCCCATATGGTCCTCTGAGACCACCAGGAGTGGTTCCTGAGCACAGAGCCACGAGTCACTCCTGAGCATCACTGGGTGTGGCCCGAAAACCAAAGAGGCAGGGTGGCGTGGAGAGGAAAGGGACAAGGAAAAGAAAGTGACTGTGGTCAAAGACAGAAGGACCTTGACTCTTGGAAGGACCAGGGCCTTGTGATCAGGGCAGAGTCAGTGGGGCTGATGTGTTTAGTAGGACTGACATGGAGGTGGTACATGATTTTGTCTCAGATCTGTTTCTCGTTTTGGGGGTTTGCTCCTGGCTCAAGGAGCCAGGAGCAAAGGAAGCAAAGCAAGGGGTCAAGGAAGAGCCTTGCAGCCCTGTGCTGTATTCCTCCCCCGCCCCCCTAAATAAGGTAGATTTTAGTTTTGGGGCCACACTCCTGGCCCTGCACTCCAGATCACAGCTGGTGCTTAGGGACCACATGGGGTGCCAGGGACCCCATGCATGCACCTGTGTCAGTGCATGCAAGGCAAGTGCCCTACCCACTGTACCCACTGCTCCAGCCCCAAAAAATAAGTTTTAAGAGGTAGAAAGTTTCAGTGCCAATAAGAATGCTTATATATGGGGTGGGGGTGGGGTCCACATCCGACCGTACTGAAGGCTACTCCTGGCTCTCCACTTGGGGTGCTCCCTGCAGTGCTGAGGGACCATGGACCAGGGATCACACCAAAGTGACTGCTTGCAAGGCAAGCACCTTAACCCTTATCCTGTCTGCTGCTGCGTCTCATTGTTTTTAGATTGCTTTTAGATGGTGAGAGCACATTACGTGCTGTGCGTGCAGAAACCTGGGTTCAGTCCCTGGCACTGAATGTGTCTCTTGAGCTGTGCTTAGCCTTGTACCCCTCCCCCCCCCATTTTTTAAAAAATTTTGTTCTATCCTTGAATGGTCACAACATTTAAGTGAATTATCTTGTTTACATTTGAGTTGCTCATGTTTTGCAAATGTGTATCAAAGATATAATCCCAAAGGACTTGAGTAGTTACATATGTCTTATGATTTCTTTATTTTATTTTTGGTCATTCTCAGTGGTCCTCAGACTGCTCCTGGCACTGTGTTCAAAGGTTACTCTTGGTGGTACTCGGACAATCCTGAGGTGCGAGGGATCAAACCCAGGACTCCCACATGCAAAGCATGAGCCCCAACTCTTTGAGCTATCTACTGAGAGTGTCTTGCCCGCACGGCAAAGCCTGGCAAGCTACCCGTGACGTATTCAGTATGCCAAACACAGCAACAACAAGTCTCACGATGGGGACATTACTGGGCCCGCTCGAGCAAATCGATGAACAACGGGAGGACAGTGACAGTGACATCAACTTGGTGATTTATTTATTTATTTATTGAAATTATTTTTTCACAATTGTGGGGCCCCACATCTGGCTCTGTGCTTAGGGACTTGACCTAGTTTAGTGCCAGGAGCTAGTACACGGGGACCATCCAGTTCAGGTATCAGACCAAGGGCCTCAGTTGCATGTGTTGCATGTGCACTGCTATTATGCCATATTTCTGACCTGGGACATTTTTTTTGTTTTTGTTTCGGTGCTGGGAGAACATATGGTTTGATCACATAAACAGATACAGCGGGTAGGATGTTTGCCTGCTTGTGGCTGACCTAGGTTCGATCCTTGGCATCCTCTATGGTCTCTGGAGCCATGCCAGGAGTAACTCCTGGGCTCTGCCATGTGTGACCCCAAAAACTGAAACCAAAAAAAAAAAAAAGGTAGCCAGAGAGAAAGTTGCACAGGTGAGGCACTTGCCTGATGTTCTAATTTGACTTGTTCGCATGGGAGTGCTAATAGCTGTTCCTTTCCTCCATCGCAGGCTCAGTAGATGAAGGTGGCACTGAGGGGCTGCCCACACTGCAGAGCACGTCCACTACGAATGCGCACGCAGAGGAGGATGACCGGTTAGTGCTGGAATTGTGTGTACTGTTCTTGGAGGGGGGGTGGTTGTGCACGCAGCTCATGATTCAGGCATTGTATCTGGGAATTAGTTTTAGAAAGCCATTGGAACTGCAGTTTAGTTTGTTTTTAGAGTAATGAGGTATCGTCGTCATATAAATTAGACCTATTCCATGTTGGTTGCTTGTTTTAGCATTTCAAAAACCATCCAGTTCCATCATTCCAAATAGTACCTGTGATGATAGTTCAGTGGTAGAGCTCTTGTCTTGCATGTGTGAGCCCCCAGGTTCAATGCACAGCACTTCATTCACATAAATAGACACTCAGGAGTTAGACAAACTAGTCTACAAACCCCTCCCACTGCACCATCTTTATTTGTGACTCAAGTTTTATTGGAATTAGCCGTGCTCCTTTGTTGACATGTTGTCATCTAAGACCCAGTAGTAGACACAAGCCTTCCCTGTCTAGTGCTCCGGGTTCCAACCACCACACGAAGAAGAACAATAAATACAGTCTTTCGATGATAGGGTCGGTTGTGTAATATACAGAGCCCACACAGATTAGGTGGTGTTCAGGTCCAAAAATATCCGCTCTGCCTGACTGTACAAAACACCTGCCGCGTTCTCCCCATCAGAGCCGATCCCCAGGCCACCTTCAGATTCACTCTCCCTGCTTGGTGTCTCCCCCTGGATGCACAAGTGACTTCAGACGCTACAGAACTGAGAGGAAACTCAAGACCTCCAGCTCCCCTTCAAAGCCTGCTTTTCCAGTCTGTGCCATCTCAGACTGATCATCTCCCCCGCATTCCCAAGCAGAATTTTAGGAATTACACCTATCCCTTACTGTTTCCCCATGTCCCCGATTGGAGAATCCTTAAACCAGTTCTGTCAGATAAGTCTCTGCAGAACACAGTGCTGACACGTTTCCTTCATCCACTACAACCTAGGTCACCACTGCATTTTTCTTCTGCTACATGTCATAGCTAGAGTCATCTTTCTTTTTTTTTATTTAAGATTCAGATTATGTTGCCGTTTGGGGGCCAAAGCAGTAGTACAGCGGACAGGGCACTTGCCTTGCACCCAGCTAACCCAGGTTCAAACCCTAGCACCCCATATGATCCCACAAGCCTGCCAGGGTGACTCCTGAGCACAGAGCCAGAAGTGACCCCTGAACACTGCCACACGTGGCCCAAAACAAACAACAACAAAAGAAGTGTTAAAAGTAGTGGACTACATGATATGACTTCTGCTGAGTTTCCTTCAGACCCTTCTTGTTGATTCACCCTAAATCAGCATCTGTTCCTGAAATACTCTGTGTTTCTGTGAGGGCCTTTGTGCTGCCCGAGTGCCTTTTCTCCCTCCGCCTTCAGTGTTTCTTTTCTGACTTTTATATCAGTGGCTCCTTAGTGATTTTCTCAACTGCCTAAATGTCAGTTCTCAACATTTCTTACCGGCTATCTTTAAAAAACAGCATCAGTTACTATTGGATCGCCTTATTTTATTTTTTAATTCTCCGTTCTGATTACTTTCTTGTGACCGTCTACCCATCCTTCCTTCTTTTTAAGTGCTAGGGATCAAACCCAGGGACTCACATATGTAAGGCAAGTGCCTGTCACAAACTAGCTATCTGGCCCCTGCATATGTAGTTTCTCTCTGACCACAGAGTTCTACTGTGGGAAATCATTCTTTTAGAATGTCTAGGAAAGACTGAAAACTTGTATTAGTTGCAAACTTCAAGAATTCAAAAAAGAAAACATCAAGAATTTAAAGAACTCAAACAAGGTTTCCTGTTATTGTATAGCTGTACCAAGCAGAGCAGGTTATTTATTTAAGTCAAGTAAGCCAGTTATTTGAATAAAGCAATAAAGGTAAAAACAAGAAGAAATGTGTCTAGTTTTCTTCATTTCCAGCATTAATGACCTTATCTATTTCATATCAGATAGTGCCCTAAGAGATGGGAGATGAAATGTCTATTCCTTTGTCCTCAAAGGTCTCAAACCAGTTTAGGGAGAGTGATAGAGTTTGAAAGAGATGAGAAGACAAAGTGAGAGGTTTGCTCAAGACTCTAACTTGTAGAGAAGGATACCTGGGTGCTGGAGCTGTATAGTACAGAGCCTTACGTGTGGCTGACCCAAGTGTCATCCCCAGCACCCCATATGGTCCCTGAGCCTGCCAGGAGTGATCCCTGAGCACAGATCCAGGAGTAAGTCCTGAGTACTGCTGGGTATGGCCCCAAAACAAAAAGGTTATCTGTCTAAATCACTAGTAAATCAAAGGGAACCTCTATTCCATGTCTCCAAATGAGTAGGTGTCATGCAGGTAGAGGGAGAACAGCATCGAGCAGTAGAAGAGGCACTGCATGGGGAATAGTGTTTCCCAGAGGGGGAACAGTCGCCCCCTGTGAGGTTCTGAACACGTTTCGGGGGTGGTAGAAATCTAGGGTTCAGTTGGGGTGGAGGTGGGCTTTCTGTTTCTCCCCTTTAAAAAGTAGGTTTCCAGGGGTCAGTTTGTGATTTTTTTTTCCTTCTGAAAGTTCAGAGTGATCAGTGAAATAAGTTTTGGAGCCTCCAGTATAAAGTGTGTTTGAGGTGAATGTGACAAGTGCAGTTGGAAAAGAACCCAGGACCCAGCTCATAGAGCGTCTTCCATGCCTTTCAGAGGCGTTGCATTTCCTTCTGAAACCCACCAAAGCATGCAGGGCCCGAAGCAGGAGCAAGCTCAGAGTGGTGGAACTCTCGCTCTGAGCAACAGTTAACTGTCAGCCTGCAGCCCTGCCAGGGATGCCCCATTGTTTGGAGGCCTCCAAAAGTGAGGAGGGCTAATTAGGATTTAATAAGACTCAATGAGAACAAGTGAGGAGGGAGGGATGTGTTAGTAGGATGAAAAGGCCTGGAAAAGCTGGGACCCCTGAGGTGGGACAGTTCATCTTGCTTAGCCAGAGAGCTGGACATCCTGAAGAACGGCCTTGTTTTGTAAATGAAACTTGTCCTCTTAACAGTGCATTGCTACATTTTTCTTTTGTTCACTTGAAGCTGTGCAGAAGTACTTATTCGTCTTAAGAATCAGAGCCTGGTTGCCTTCTTTGGTCTATTTTTTAGATTGGAAAATGTTCAATATCCCTACCAACTCTACATTGCTCCTTCCACCAGCAGTACAGAACGACCAAGTCCGAATGGTCCGGACAGACCTTTTCAGTGTCCAACTTGTGGGGTGCGATTCACCCGTATTCAGAACCTAAAACAGCACATGCTCATCCACTCAGGTAATGACAGTTTCCCTGTTGGTACTTGAAAACATTGTTTTAGAACCCGAGCTGAAAAGGGAAAATGGTGTTGGGGCCATGGATGTTGCTCAGTGGCAGAGCACTCACCTTGAGTCTCTGAGGCCCTGGGTTCTCAGCCCCTGCCTCGATAAATAAATAAAAGGACATGTAACAGAAAATGTGTTTGTAAAGTCTCTGGGATAAACCTTAGTGTCTGTTGCTAAAATGGAACATTGTTACAAGACTGTTTGCTTACCCACAGTTTGCCACAAGCAGAAGTATTCTAATTACAACTTAAGGGGGGGGGGGTAATGCATAAATGAAGATAACGCTGGGCCAGAGAGATGGGATAGGAGATAAAGCAGTAAGTGTGTGCAGTTGTGACAGCATAGCTCTGGTTCAAATTCCCGGGACTGGCACCACAGTCCGTCCCCGGAGCCCCCCAGGTATGGCTCAACAGATACCTTAAGAATGAAAATAAATTGGGGCCAGAGCAATAGGACAGCAGGTAGGACATTTGGCTTGCACATGGCCAACCAGGGTTTGATCTCCTGCTCCACATACGGTCCCTGAACCCTTACCAGTAGTAATCCCTGAGTACTGTTAAGTTTGGCGGGATAATTAAAATTAAAGGATACTAGGAGTTACATATGTGCGCTAGAGAAGCAGATATAAGATAATAATGGACATGACTGAGGTTCTTTATACTATTCCTGTAACTTCTCTTTAAGCTAGAAGATGATTTTAAATAAAGGTGTTTAATTTTTTAACTTAAGATATGGGGTTTCTTTTTCTTTTTTTCTTTTTAACTTAATAGTATCAGGAAGATAGCTTAGAGCACTGGGGTCTGTGCCCTGCATGCAGGGGACCTGGTCTTGGTCCCCAGTCCCTCATGTCAGTCAAGCACTGCTGGGAAGTGAACCCCTGAACACTGCCAGGTGCTGGGGGGAAAGGCAGCTCAATTGGAGAACACCAAGTAAAGGATGTTTGGAGGACTCGCTTGGGATGCGAGATGCGTACTGAATGTAGACTATAGACCGAACACAATAGCCACTCAATACCTCTGTTGCAAACTACAGCACCCTAAAAAGGGAAGAGAGAACAAAAGGGAATGCCCTGCCACAGAGGCAGGGTGGTGGGAGGCTACTAGGATCATTGGTGGTGGAAAATGGGCACTGGTGGAGGGACGGGTACTCGATCATTGTATAACTGAAACCCAAGCACAAAAGTTTTTAAGTTTACACCTGTATCTCATGGTGTTTCGCTAATAAAACAAATAAATAGCTTTTTAAAAATTTTAAAAAGTAATAATGGGCTGAAGCAATAATAGTACAGCAGGTAGTATATTTACTTTGCATGTGGCCAACCCAGGTTCGATTCCCAGCATCCCATATGGTTCCCCATGCAACCGCCAGGAGTGACTCCTGAGTGAAGAGCCAGGAGTGACCCCTGCACATCATCAGGTGTGGCCCCAAAAGCAAAAACATTTTAATTTAATGACATTTTAATTCTATAAGGGCTGGAGCGATAGCACAGCGGGTAGGGCGTCCGCCTTACAAGCGGCCAACATGGCCGACCCGAGTTCGATTCCTCCGCCCCTCTCGGAGAGCCCGGCAAGCTACCGAGAGTATTCGATATGCCAGACACAGTAACAACAAAGTCTCCAATGGAGACGTTACTGGGCCCGCTCGAGCAAATCGACGATCAACGGGAGGGCCTTTACCTTACCTTTACCTTTAATTCTATAATCTTAAACTTCTTGGTGCCTTGATTTGTACTATTTTTATAGTAAAAAAGAGACAAATGGGAGCCAGAGAGATACAGTTCAGGGATTAAGTTGGCTTGCCTTGCATGAGGCCAGCCCCAATCCACTCCCGAGCACCACCGGGCCTCAATCTCCCCCGTACTTCCCAAAAGAGACAAATGATCTCTTATACATAGACAAATGATGTGTAAAACAGGTTGGAAAATTAAGCTCATGATCACATAGAGGCAACAAAATTGTGGTAGATAAGAATGTGACCTCCTCTTGGTGGAGCGATGGTTACTTGATCATTGTATAACTGAAACCCAAGCACGAAAGTTTGTAAGTCTACAACTGTACCCCATGGTGTTTCACTAATTAAAAAAAAAAAATGTGACCTCCTTGGAATCAGAGCAATAGTACCCAGGTAGAGCACTAGCCTTGCACACAGTCAGTCCGGGTCTGATTCCTTGGCACCCTATATGGTCCCCTGAATTCCACCAGGAGTCATCTCTGAGCACACAGCCAGGAGTAAAGCCTGAGCACCACCCCATCCCATAAAGCGGAGCCAGAGCTGGTAACACAGTAGATAGGCTTCTTGCATTGCACAGGACCAACTCCGGTCTTATCCCTGGCATCCGATGATCTCCTGAGCTGCTGGGAGTAAGACCTGACCATACTTGGGCGTACTGCCCCCCTCCAAAAAAAAGAAAGAAAACAGAAAAGATAACTTTCACCTAATAAGTGAGAAACTCTTGTCAACTGTATTATCTGCCTCTCCTTTTCTGTAATTTGGTCTAATAGTCCCTTATCTATTACCATTTCCTGTGTCTTATTCAATCAAAAAATTATATTTTGAAATTTTTCAAATTTTTGCCCAGTGCTCTGACAATGAGTTAGAGAAAACCATTATTCTACCTTTTTTGCAGGGGCCCATATGAAATGCCAGGGATTGAAATACCCCGGTCTCATACTAGGCATGCACCCTACCTGCTGTACTATCTCTCCCCCTTATACACTTTAGAGTTTATATATTCTCTACTTTTTTTTCTGTCACTGTTTTAGTAAGTACCCAAGCCCAATTCAAATGGTTATATCATCAATATGTTTAGAGATGTTAGAATTTTTCTTTTTTCTCTCATTTCTCTGTGATAGGGATGAAAGTTGATACTGATCATGTTCCCATCTTCTTAGTATAAACTTGACCACTTGATTATATTATATAAGATCTTGAACTTGTGCCAGAAAAAGTACAGCAGGTAGGTGCTTGCCTTGCATGTGGCCAGCACGGGCTCTGTCCCTGGAACCCCATATGGTCCCTCAAGTCACACCAGGAGTGATCCCTGATCACAGAGTCAGGAGTCAGCCTTTGAAGACTTCCAGGTATGGCTCAAGAGCCAAAGGGGAAAAAAAAAGATTTTTGACTCAGTACTTGTGATTAAATTGTGCTTAAAAGCTATAAAATTATTTGGAAGAGCATTCAGTTTTTGACTCAGAATGCACTACCCAGTTTATTTCTAATTTATTTATCTATTTAAAGCATTGCTGAGGTTTGGGGCGTTGCTCCGTGGTAGAATGCTTGCTTTGCCGAGATTCATTTCCTGGCACTGCTAAAGTAAAAGACGGCAACTTCTTTTTAATGTCCTATGCCTTTCTGAGACCGTTGAAATTCACTTTGACTGCAGATTTTTGTTCTCCCTTGAGGCCATACCCAGCAATGCCCAGGGGTTACTTGTGGCTCTGCAGCCACGAGTCACTGTTGGTGGTGCTCACGGAACCATATGGGATGCCGGGGATCGAAACTGGGTCACCCGTGTGAGAAGCAAACACCTTACCCGCTGTACTGTCGCTCCGGCCCCACCACTGATTTATTTTCTTCTTAACTCATCTGTTACTGTATTACATCTGTTACTGTACAGCTAGAGTTCAGACCTTTGCATTTCATGTTGGTTGTAGATAAAATGTTGGCTTTGCTCTGTTTTATAGGAATTAAACCATTTCAGTGTGACCGCTGTGGAAAAAAGTTCACCAGGGCTTACTCGCTAAAGATGCATCGCCTAAAGCATGAAGGTAAACGCTGTTTCCGGTGCCAGATATGTAGTGCCACTTTCACTTCCTTCGGGGAATATAAACACCACATGAGGGTTTCCCGGCACATTATCCGCAAGCCTCGGATTTACGAGTGCAAAACATGTGGCGCCATGTTCACCAACTCTGGAAATTTAATCGTGCACCTGAGGAGTCTGAACCATGAAGCGTCAGAGCTAGCAAACTACTTCCAGAGCAGGTGAGGTGCACAACGAAAACCCACCCAGGAAAACTGCTTTCTAAACTCTCTTTGCCTGCTTTCAGGGCAGCCTGCTGAGGTTTTTTATCAGGTTGCCAGCTAATCAGTCACATTTCCTCTAAATTCCCACTCTATTCTCATCTCCTGAGCTCATAAAATAGTGCTTCTACATATATATATATATACAATTAAAGTATTTTAATAGCTGGTATGAAAAATCTTTTCCTGTAAAATTAGACTGCTTATCCTCTTGTTTAGTGATATAAAATTATTCAGTCAGGGCCACAGATGTGGCTTAGTGGTAAAGTGCATGCCTTGTATGCATGAGATCTGGATTTGATCCCTGGCTTTGCGCCCCCACCCCCCATCCCCCCAAAATAGAATTCCGTCGTGGATCTTAATAGACTTTGCTGAAAAATTTACTACATTAAATGTTTACTAGATTACTTCAGCTCTTTAGCTGTTAATAAAATTCTTGAGCACTCCTCACCCCTTTTTTCTTTGGCTAATTCTATATCAAGGAATACACATTTACCAATAAGAGAACCCAGCTAGTAACTAATGTACATTATTATTTGTTTTGTTTTGTCTTTTTTATTTGGGGTGGGGGGTACATCTGGCAGTGCTCAGAGCTTATTTCTGGCTCTGACTTCAAGGATCACTCCTGGCGGGCTTGGAGGACCATATGAAGTGCCAGGGATCGAACCCAGGTCAGCTGCTCCGACCCCTGGATGTGATTATTTTAGATCAGATAAATTTTAATAGTTACCTTTATTCTAGTTCTTTCAGCTAGTATGATTGAACATGTCTCTTTACAGATGAAGGATGAGACTTAGGGAAGGAGAAAATGTAAGTTTTCAAGATCATTTCTAAGATTTCATCCAGCTAAAAAATTATGATCCTTTTTCACTTGTCAGATTTTATGCATCTATAGGAATTCCTTGTTTCTTAATCAACTTAGAGATTTGTTTTGGGGCCACACCTGGTAATGCTCAGGGGTTACTTCTGCCTCTGCACTCAGGGTCTATTCCTGTTGGTGCTAGGGGACGATATGGTATGCTGGGGATTGAACTTAAGTTGGTTGCATGTGGAACAATCACTCCACCCATTATACTAGCTCTCCAACCACAAAACTTAGTTTTCTTGAAAACGTTTCTGTTTTCTAAATCTTCTCAGTAAATTTTTCTTGCATAATTTTTTCTGTAATTCACAGCAGGCATTTATTTTGAATATCAATTAGGTATAATCATTTAAGTGATCAGAGAGATCGTACAGTGGATAAGGTACCTGCCTGACAGGGCCTTAGGTCCGCCAGGTGTGACTCAAAGATAAATTCAAACAAACAAAAAAAGATTATCTTCCTGATTTTGAGCATCTGATTCTCGTACCACTGAATCTATATCATGCCTGTCTCACACACGACTCAGGCTACAGCACATCCCGGTCCGTTGCACCTGCTGTCCCTGTCTGCCCTGTGCAGTGGCCGCTTTCATCTTTCTTGTCTAATGCCTAAAGCACTTTGAGAAAATAGGACATAGGATGTTTTTAATTGTGTAGCAGATCGGCAGTTTAATTTTGTTAAAAAAGTACAATCGATTAAAAACACTACTATATACATTCCCAGTATAATGAGTTTCGTATAGTTCAGCAATCAAGTAATTTTTTTCAGGGGGAGGTAGTTTTATTTGTTTTTTGTTTTGGGGCCCTCGCCAGCAAAATCAGGGCTGCTCCTGGCTTGAAGCTCAGGGGTCACTCAGACAATGCTCAAGGGGCCATGTATCAGCCTGGGAACCCCAGGTGCTTTGCTCCAGCCCTCAATCATCTCTGTAGCTTACTTCATAATGTTATTTTTAAGTATAAAAATTAAGCATAATTCTGGGCCAGAGCGGTAGTACAGTGGATAGGGCGCTTGCCTTGCTCGTGGCTGTCTCGGTTGTCAGCGTCCCCTGTGGTCCCCTGAGCTCTGCCAGAAGTGATACCTAGGCATTGTCAGTGTGGCCCCAAAACAGAAAAGCAAATAAAATTCATTTAAGTATAATTTTATAGAATATGAAATAATGTTGAAATTTATGAAATACAAGGAAGTATAAAGTAAAAGAATTTTAAATCTTTTCTGATTGGGCTTGGGAGATAATTCCAAGGACCGGAACATGTGCTTTGCATGCAGTGCTTCTGGGTTTCATCTGGCACCACATGGTCCTTGGGCGCTGCCAGAGATGGCCCCTGAGCACTGAGTTGAATGTGATTCCAAGTACTACCTGGTGTGACCTTCAAATAATAATGAAAAATCTTTTGATTGTACTACTCACTCAGGAATCATACTCACTGTTGATGAAATTGCAGTTTGTTTATACATTCAGCAAATACTGATTTAAGAATCATATCGATATAGAAGGTTAAATTTTTTTTTTTCTGAATCAGTGAACACCTTCTGGGGGTAACATTTAGTGACTTCTAAATTCATGACTTTAACTTCAAAGTTAATTTGTTACTGTTTCCATATACCAAAGTAGCTAGGTACACACAAGTTACTCTTTTACATTTTTCTCTATTAGATGCTATATAAGGTTATTTATGCATAAGAGCTGAGTTTCTGTTCTTGTTTTGGGGCCGCGCCTGGTGGTGTTTGGGGCGCACTCCTGTCTCTGCGCTCAGGGATCACTCCTGGCAGGGCTCCGGAGACCGTATGGGGTGCCGGGGATTGAACCCAGGTCAGCTGCATGCAAGGCAAGCGCTTTACCCACTGTCCTGTCTCTTAAGTTCCCTCTTTTCTTCTTCAGTGATTTTCTTTTCTCTTCCTTTGCTTTTGAGATAACTGGAAATCACATACTTGCTCATGGGACTCATCGGTTCTAGGGCTCACAGAGTTGGGCGTACTGTGGATCGTGCACTGTAGTTGTGGGACTCATGTACCCTTGATCACACTGCACACTTTTATGTGGTACCAGGACTCCCCATACCATCACTGCTGAGGTCACTGAGCAAAGCACCCGAGTGCCAGACCCCAGACTCGGTTCCTTAACTAACACATCCAGGGGGTAAGAAAAGGCTTAGTGTGAGCCACTCTCGATTAGTATGTGATTTCAGGAACAGCCAGAGGCTTCTGCCTCTGTGAGCATGCTCACGTCGTTCGTCATGCTTGTGCACGGAAACCCTCCTCCACAGACTAATTCGACTGGCAGGGTGTCTGCAGTGACACTGAGGGTGATCCCCACTGACAAGAGGCTTGACCTGTTCGATTCTGGTTCTGGTCTAGGTTCAAACTTTGGGAAGTGAAAAATTCAAGAACTAGAAATAAGTCAAAGCCCAACCCTGTTTTAAATTAAATCAGCGCTTTTGCTGTGTTTCGTTTATTGCTAGTTTGACAGTTAATCCCCTGTTTCCTCTTTGCCTCTCCGTAGTGATTTCCTAGTACCGGACTACTTGACCCAGGAGCACGAAGAGACCCTTGTGCAGTACGACCTTGGAGAACACAGTTTTGAGAGCGACTCCTCTATCCAGATGCCTGTGATCTCGCAGGTGTCCTCCACCCAGAGCTGTGAGAGCGCCTTCCCCTTGGGGTCTCTCGGCGGGCTGACAGACAGAGAGGAAGAAAGGCCACAGCAGCCCAAGACCGGTGCCTGTGCTGAAGCCGCCAGAGACGACCCCTCGAAACCAGAGCTGTCTTCTGTTACTCTTGAGTAGATTCATGCTCGGGCTTTATTTTTTGGTTTTTGGAAAGTGCCTGTGCTTATTAGTCTTGTATGTTTAATTTAAATTTGATTTTTTCAACAGAAAAGTTTCCTTTTTACTTGTGAGCCCTGCCGCTGATGTTACATTCTTTATTACAGAGAAGCTTCTCCTCTAAGTGCACGTCAACACGGTGTTGAGACAGAAATCACGAGACTGGAAGAGGGCTAGTGACTTAAGACAGTCTAGTGACTTTAACAAGTTTCTCTTGTTAAAAATATGCTCCCACCAGATCATTAGGTGAAGAAGAAATTAGGGGGGAAATGTGCTAAAAACGCTCCCATTAATCATTAGGTAAAGAAGAAATGAGACGCTCATGGACCTTCCCGAGGAGAAAGCAGGCCAGAATTCAAGTACTAAAGAGAACCTGACATCATCTAACAGGTGTTTGCTCCTATACGCAGGACACTGTAGAATATTTTGTAAAGCCTGTTGTTTTGAAAATATTTATGGTAAGCTTTTACAAATTATTAGGATAAATACTTCTCTAATATCCAGCATACTCTTTAAAACAAAAAGCTTTTCCACTTTTATTATGATTTTTTTTGAGGGGGTGGTGTAAATTTGGTATTGGGTTAGGCCTTCCCTGTACCTTTATAGTACCAGTTCTTTCAATTTGAATTTTTTTTTTAGTTTTTGGGTGTCATCCGGCGAAGCTCAGGAGTCACTCCTCGCTCTGCGCTCAGCACTTGATCCTGACAGTCAGTGCTTGAGTGACCATATGGGAAGCCGGGGATTGAACCCAGGTCTGGCGCCTGCAAGGCACACGCCTTCCCCACTGTACTATCTCTCCAGCTCCAGTACCACTTCTTTAATCTTTCTTATATGAAAGAGGGGAAGGAACCATGATTGGAAATAGTCAAACTGCATGAAACGACCAGGAATGGAGAGGGGAGTATGTGAATCCCAGCTTCATAAGAATTCTTTTTTTAATACTGCTTTCCTGACTGAAATTATTGTTTACCTGGTCTTTGAGTGTTAATGTTTGGCTAATTAGGTTTTTGCCTAAATCAGTTCTTGTCCTATCACCAGTACTTCCTATTGCATATACTGATGTGTTACCAGATAGAGGGAAAATATTGGAGATAGTCTATATTTTATATGTAGGTTTATGTACTGTTGGGGGTGTTTTTATTGTGCTGTTTTGGACATAATAAAGAATTAATTCTCTGTTAAGGCTATGTTCTTAACCCAAGTAAGATTGTTTACAAAATCCCATCTGACAAGTATCCATTGTCTTTGTATCAAGATATTTTTAGACATTGCCAAGTTTATTAAAAGCAATTAGTATAGTTTTTACACAATGAAAGCAATAATGTAAAAGATTAGAAGAGGTTATGAAATGATCTATTATAAATCTGGGGGAAAAGATTGTTAAGACTAAAGAAATAGTAAAAATCTTAAATGAATATCACCTTTTGCTGCTAAAAAATATTAAACTTATGTGATACTCTAGACTGGAGTATAGTTTTCATCTGATGCCATTGAAGCATCACAGACAGACCTTAATACTAAATATTCATGAGTCCATGAACAATGAATTCATGAGTCAATTTTTATCTCTGTGTGTGTGTGTGTATATATATATGTGTGTATATATATATATACATATACACACATGTATACACACAAGCGCACTCACACACACACACACACACACACACACACGCCCAGAGTTTAATAATTATGAAAGCACCTGATTAGAAAGGGGAGGGGGAAGTGGTTTCTTGTTTAAAACATAAAGATCTGGGGCTGGGCCGATTGTACAGCAGGTAGGGCGTTTGCCTGGCATGCGGCCGACCCAGGTTTGATTCCCAGCATCCCATATGGTCCCCTGAGCACCGCCAGGAGTAACCCCTGTGCATCGCCAGTGTGACCCAAAAAGGAAAAATAAAAATGTAAAGATCTCAATTTCATTTAGGTGCTAGACCTTAACAATAAATCATATTTTTAAGTTACAGTGATTGAATTGCTTCATTTTTAATTGGCTAATTTGTATAATTAATTTTTTCCCCACCTCAGTATGTAGGAGAATGGAACGTAAAGCCCTTGAAGACGTTTTAGGCTCTGTGTTTGCTAACATGTCTAACTGCTTGTCTCACTCGTGAGCCTGTTTTTCCCATTGCTCCCAAACGTAGGTAGGTGTCTTCACCTTCAAGAACAGTCAGCCTGCACCCACTGTCGTGGGCTGCTACCGTCCGGGCTTCTTTACGAGAGTTTAATTTCCTGTAGTCAGGCCGGATAGCTCAGTGGACTGAGTGCAGGCAAAGTAGTCTTTGCATGCACAGAACCTGCGCCACTTGGTCCCCGAGCACTGCCAGTTGTGGCCCAGAAACCAAAAGAATTACTCTATTCATCAGACTATATTACTCCCTGTTACAGTAGCAACAGTGCTGTTGAATCTCAACGGGAAGGATCGGGGTTTTTTGTTCTTCATATCGGATTCTTTGGAAACTGTTACACAAATCATTGTTTCGTTGCTTATGCCAAGGATCAAACCCAAGACCTCACTCACACATGGCACACAAGACAAGTTTAAGACAAAGAATAGGGCCAACTGTGACCAGAAAGCATTGTTCCCTTCAATTCTGAGGAGCTGTAAGTAAAGCTTTAAAGGAAGAAAAAAGGGAAGGAGCCTGAAGATCACCTTGGGGTTCCGAGCATTTCAGCACTGCCCTTACTCTCCAAACTCTGTGCGAGGGGAGCCTCCCTTGGCCAGAGCGGAGCAAGGTTGTCTTTTCTTGGGATAGGCGTCCCACCTGCTCTGCTCTCCCAAGTGAAAATTTTAGATCTTCCCAGGGAATTGCACATTGTACTGATTCCCCGGTTTAATGAAAAAGTGAAGCATACCCTGCAGATGCGGACCTGGGTTGTCTGTCTCCGTCCTAGTCCCCAATCAGATCAGTTCAGATAACTAATATTTAACATCAAGTGGAAGAATTAACGAAGGCTTTTTAAAGGGGGGGGTGGGACAGACTTCTGGGCTTCGCACAGGAACGGCAGGTTTCTGCTGCGAAGCCCATTCCTAACCCCAAGGGAATTTCTCCCATTGTCCTGAGGCTCTCCATTTGTCTCTGTAAAGCACAACTTAAAGAGGATTTACATAAGGATTTGTTTCTGGATACTAAACTGAAATAGATATAGTGCTGTTTAGATTGATTTCAAATTCATCTACAATTACATGCCTGGGTAAATAATTTTAATCCATATAAAAGAAATGAAAGCCGGTTACATTATTCCATCCATTAGAAATCAGTATAACTAGATTTAAATATATATATATATATATATATATATATCTTAATATATAACTCCAGTTCAGAATAACGCAAGTATAACTGCCTCACGGCCAAAAAAGTAATTTTGTGACAAAGGGCTTAAATTTTAGGATGCAAATAGTTTTATAATATTTACAAGAATAGAACTTATTTTCAGTTTCTGAGCTACAAAATCAGTGTGAAATACTTTAGAAATGAACAGAACTGCTCGCCGTGATACTGTAGATCCACTTCCTGGACTCTTTCTTCTAATAGTGATGGGAATATTCAGAAACTAATTTGGTTGTTTTTTGGTTGGTTTTGTTTTTTTTTAAGCTCTCAATTTCAGTAAAAAAGTATACTAGAGTGTTTTTAAAACCTTATTACGTTTTGCACTTTAATATACCAGCAACCCTCTAACTTACTAATTTGGTCCCATAATTTTACTTCGGCTTTGAAACAATGAAACAAAAAAACCCTGATTTTTTAACAGTACTTTTCTTAGAGGGCTGAGCAGTGGGCTATATCTAACAGTGCTTGAGGCACTGTGAGGTACCAGGGATTGAACCTGCATGCCAAGCACGAATCTCTAGCTAGTGGACTGTTCGCCCCTTGTTTAAAATAGTTTACCAAATGGAACAGCCTATTCGGTACACCTCAAGGTACTTACAATTGATGAGTCTGTTACTCTCTGACGACCGAGCCAGATATCTCCACGTATAAAGGTCTCCCTGATAACCTTTTGAAACTATATTAACTTGCCTTTTACCTCTTACTATTTTATTTTCTTAATCTAAAGTGAGGCCTGTTTTCTGGCTTTTAAAGATTCTCATGATGGTTTAGTCTTAACTTTGTGATCTCTTTTAAGAAATGTATTATTGTATAGGATAATGGCAGTTCTTTCTACCGCATGGAGAGAATTATTATTATGTGATGAATGTACCATCCTAAAATTATATTTTAACTGAAAGGAAGTTGAGGAGAATCAGTGGAGAGAATTAGAAGCTTTCATGTGGACTTAGTCTATTTTTTATTTATCTGCAAAATGTGAAGTTATAGCTCTGAAATATGCATCCGAGTGAGAGAGAATAGTTTTCTAGATATTAAGGGGGGCACTTGTAAAGTTTGCATTTGGAAGTGACCCAAGGTTTCTAAAAGAGTAGTATGGTTTTCACTGTAAGTTATTTGACATGAGATGCTTTATATATAATATATTCAGATTTTAAAAGTTAATGAGAGAATATATAGAAACTAGATTTTCTTTTCTGAAGCAGTGGAACAAATTTGTGGGGTGCCATTATATATATTTAAAGAATATTTATAGCTATATATGCACCTGCAGACTTTAAAATCATCAAAATCTGTTGTTATTCACCTTTATTCATTTATCTCCCAGTGTCACTTTTCACTTGGCAACGCAGCGTTTTGTTTCAAAAGTCCTCAGCAAGACTTCCCAAGAGCAATAATGGTTCAGAAGTGGAATTGAGGCAATTTCCCATTGCATCCGAAAGACCCTTACTCTGTTTCACTTCTAGATTGTCATCTATGATACTGATTGGGCTTAATTAATGGGGAATTAAGCAAATGTCAAAGTATGGGAGGAGGACAAATGACATTGAGATTGTGACACTGACTTCTTTATTCCTAATTCCTGCTAACCTCAGATGATTCTACTACATTTTAGTAATTACTATATTTTCATAATATAAAGTTAATTTCCATGTCTTTACAAATAGTTTCTGCAGAGATGTCAGGTAGTAGTACTGGAATCTCAGTTTGGCAGTATTCAGAAAACAAGATTGCCATAAATGTGCTACTCATTATGTCATCTCCCTCTTTCTAGACCCAACCCAAGTGATTTTCAACTAATCATACTGAAGTCCTTATGTATGCAATAGTTAATAAAAATTTAAAGAGGTTAGGGGCTGGAGTGATAGCACAGCGGGTAAAGCGTTTGCCTTGCAATGCAGCCAGGCCGGGTTCAGTCCCCAGCATCCCATATGGTCTCCCGAGCACTGCCAGGAGTGATTCCTGAGTGCAGAGCCAGGAGTAACCCCTGTGCATCACCGGGTGTGACCCAAAAAGAAAGAAAAAAAAAAGAGTTTGAACACTGAAAAAGTAACTTTTTTTTTTTTACACTTAAAAATATTTTATTTCAGGGTTGGAGAGATAGTACAGCGGGTAGGGCACTTGCCTTGCTCATGGCCTACTAGAGTTCCATCCCTAGAAATCCATATGGTCGCCCAAGCTACATCCTGTGATCCCTGAGCACAGAGCCAGGAGCAACCCTGAGCACTGCCAGGTGTGGCCCAAAAACAAATGAAAACAATAAAATTTCAGTTTGAAGTGCCTGATTTGTAAAATCCAATTCTATTACTGCCTTTCTCTTTTAAGTGAACTGATTTTACTAATTAAGTTTAAAGCCGTAGGCTCGGTTGTGATGACAGAGCGATAAAAATTGCTGCTTGATCATTTGAGGGGCTACAGTATCATGACTTAAATCTTTGCTTTATGGCCAGAGAGATCGTATGGGTTAATGTGCTTCCTTTAGCATGTGATCATCCCTGTCAATCCCTAGCACTGCATATGATTACCCAAGCACTGCCAGATATGGCCCCCAAAACCTAAATAAAATAAGTAACAACCTTTGCTTTCCCAACTGCTGGTCTAACCATATCCAGGTTTTGTAATTCACTTAACCAAGTTTGAAAAAAAAAATCATCTCCTGCCTAATGTCGTTTAGTTACCAAAGTCCGTCCATCACCCACCAAGGGTTTATCTTGGTGTTAGCGGTGGCTCAGGTCACAGGATGATGGGAACCCTTTTACGCGTTCTTTTCCATGGTTTGGTTCTAAGTGTGTCTAAGAGCTTGTTTTCATTTCAATTGCCGATTCAATTTTCCAATTGGCAGAT